CAACTACTCCTGCCCTTCGCGTTCTGTCAGTTGGACAGAAAGAACTTGGGCTCTAGAATCAGGCAGACTTGAATTTGAGTCTCAGTTTGACCCCCTAGTGTGGCTTAAGCACCCTGAATTTTAGCCTGTTCATCTATAAAATGGGCTTAATACTTACTCTAAAGATCGTTATAAGGGTGAAATGAAATAGCATATATAAGATATCTAGCACAGAGTTTGGCCTAAAGAGGTCATTACTAAAGGTTAATCCACCTTCCCCTTCCTCCTGGAGGTAGACGAGTTTCTCCCCAGGGAAGAAATCTCCCCAGGGACACCCTCTCTGGCCTGGTGGGATATTTTCCCTGACCCAGAAACCCTGGTCTCATTACAGTTTGCTTGTCTGTCTTACCCCACCAGTCTGGAAGCATCTTGAAAACAGCTGTCTCAAGCACCACTGATTTTCCAGTACCCAGCTCAATGTCTGGCATATAATTGTTGTTTGGAGAACTTCATTTCATAACAGCAGAGAAATAGATTAGAAGGCTTCTTAAGTAAGGTCCTTTCTCATAATAACAGTATTCATTGAGCCCCAAGTGTTATGTACCCATTACCTCATTAGTCACAAACAATCCTATATGATAGAAACTCTTGTAATTCCCACTTTACAGATGAGGAAGTTGAGGCACAGAGAATATGAGGTTACTTGCTCAAGCTAAGGTTTGAACCCAAGCAGTTCGACACAGCAGCCTGAACCCCGACCCCTCGTTACACAGTTCTGACTCTATTAGAGAACACCACTCTGGGGAGCTTGTTGGGTGAGAAGGAACCCTTGTTACAATGATTGACCCCGGGGAAATTTCTCTGGACCTTTGGAGGGAGATTCAAAACCCCTCTCCATCCCAGTTCTAGGTCTGCTTGATAAGCCAGGAATAACGCTATCCTGTTGCCTTCTAGAACCTTCTGCTCCCTGGGGTAGCAGGGAATTTATTTGGCCAGGGATTCACACCTCAGAGGCTCATCTGCCTCAGCAACTAGGGGCAGCTCACTGATGCCAGTGCCAGCCAACTTTCAGACGGGAAGCTCCTGGGTGTGCTTGCCCTCTGCCACACCTGTGAGAGACGAGAAGGGCTGGGAGGGACAGTCTGCAGAGCTGGAACCATGAGACCTTTATTCTCTAAAATAAAGGGACTCCCCGGTTCCCTCTCCTCAGGGCTTGACTCTGCTCGGTTTTCTGGGCTCCTCCTGCAAGCAGCTGCCTTTTTGAATGCCCAGTGGATCCCAAATTAGCTTGATTCATAAGAGGAAAATACACAAAACCCCTCTACAGCCAGAGAGTGAGTTGTCTATGAAGACCTATGTGTTAAAAATAAAGTTTTACCCTAAGAAGCCATCTGGCTGTGTGCCCTCTCCCAGATCCACGCTTCCATTCAGTACACTTGTTACTCTATGCTGTGGGGGAACAGAGAGGTACCGGCTGTGGATCAAGAGAGAATGAGCTTAAGTTCTCATGATGCTGAGAAGGGGGCAGAAGCAGATAAGACAAGCACAGAAACCATGGAAAAGAACTTGAGGGTATTTCCCACACCTGCAAGCAACAGGTGCTGCTCTCTGTGGTACAATTTGGGTAAGTAAGCCCTGAGGACACAGTGGGATGCGCTCAGCTGCCCAAGGAGGGGAGGCTTGATGTGATGTCTGAGGAAGGCATCTGCCTTGTGGAGATGGCTGCCGGTGGTGACCTGGGCTCTGTGCGGCGGTAGGTGGAAGTAACGGCGCGCACGGTCGCACTGTTTACAGCGCACCTTCACAACCACATCTCACTTGAGCCTGACGGCCACTCCGTAAGCAGGCTCCCCCACCCTCACTTCTCAGATGAGGAAACTGAGGCTCAGAGAAGTTTCTGAGTGGCCGTGAACTCAAGTGGTTTCTGACTCAAGTTATTTCCCTTACGTGGCAGTTTGCCTGGGGAAGTCAGGCAAAATCTCACGGAGCAGGGAACCTTGACTCTACAGAGGCAGCTTCCTCCCAACCTTGGGCAAGGCCCACTGCAGATGCAGAGTCATAGTGGTAAAAAGTGAGTGTGCAGGGGGGCCACACTGATGAGGGCTGCTGCCTGGACAGCAGCCAGGGGTACTCAGGGGCAGCGCTGGGACCAGGCTGCCCAGCCAGGGTGGGTGTGGCTCAACGCCCCAGAGAGAGGGGTGGGGCTATGGCTGGCCTAGGGGCTGCTGCCCTGTGCCCAGGAGTTGGGGCCTAGCCCGAGGGAAGCCTGACTGAGCCCAGGTCTTTTGTGGCCAGAGGTAAGGGTAAGATAAACAAGTGTCTTATTTTAAAACCAAAGAGAGGACAAGGGTTCTTTGTTTCCACAAATCAGTAGGAGAGGAAATGGGTTGTGTGTGGGGGCAGGGGGATGGGGGAGCGGAGTTCAGAGCTCTAGCTGTGAGGAAGTGGAACTAGTTACCAAAGGACTTCCCTGTTAGCCAGAACACTTGCTCTCCTCCTGGGAGGAGTGGAGCAGCAGGGGCTAGAGGCTTGCAGAGGTTTCTCCCAGCCCTGGGAACCTAGAGTAAAACCAGTCAGCACAACGTCACCCTGAGGAGATGGGGGTGATGTCGGGCTTTCTGTGATGGGAACAGCAGAAATCCTTGAGTCTGAGCAGTGCCAGGACTTGGTTCCCCTCCTTCTGCCCTCCTCTCTTTGTCAACCTCCCAGAGGATGGAGACTGCTTCCCCAAATTCTACTGGGGCCACCGCCTCTGGTCCCATCACTAAGATAGACAAAAGGGAACTAGCTTTTATTGAGCTCCAACTGCATGCCCTGTCCTGGGCTTCGTACTGCAGTCATGAAATGAAATGAGAAAGGACATATTTTCCTCCCTGAGGGGAAAAAGGAGAATTACTAGATTAAAGGAAAGCCATCAACAGAGCTGTAAGCAAAGGTGGCGGGGCAGGGCGGGGGGTGGGCGTAGGCATAGGAGCTGAGGCTGAGACAGTTTTCAGTCTTTCCACAAACTTTTTATTCCCTTAACTTCCACAAAAAGGGAAGCCAGCCAGAAAGGATTCTCCCCATTTTAGTGATAAGAAGTTTGAGGCCCCAGTAAGGGTGTAGCCAGGACAGAAACACCTATCTTGTGCTTCTGTGCTCGCTGCCCTGTCTTCGAGGCCAGGTTGGGATCAGGATGGAGGAGGAAGTGCTGCCCTTTCTTCGAGGCCAGGTTGGGATCAGGATGGAGGAGGAAGTGGTGGAGGTGATGAGGTACCAGAGGGAGAAGAAAACTGAGGGATAGGGGACCCCCAAAGGCAACCCTGCAACACCTTATAATGCTGGCTAACTTTCCATGTGGTGTCCTGGAGAGGACTTCTATTACTGCCACTACTTCTAATAGTAATAACGGTTACTATTTACTGTTTACCTTGTGCCAAATACATAAATATTGTGGAAGGGATTAATGTACAAAATGCTTTAGAAGCGATCTCTTTTAACCCTCAGAAGAACCAATAAGATAAATACTTTTGTTTCTATTTTTCAGACAAGGAGATTAAGGTTCGGAGAGGTTGGGGATTTTCCTGAGACCTCATAGTGGGTGGCAGGGGCCACACTCATACCAACTGTGCAGTACGGCCAAGGTGGGACACAAATGCTGCCCCATTATTTTTATTCCTCAACACCTTTGGCATCATCCGGCCCCAGAATGCTGGTCCCTGAAAAAGGAAGGCCTCTCTTCTGCATCCTCTTAAATTCTCAGGCTTAAAACCATTTTTACTCCCCACCACCATCACCCCCACACACACACAAGCCTAGGCCTCAGGGGTGGGGAGATGTCTGCAGACAAGGCAAAGAGACCACATTCTGGGCAGATCCCCTGACAAGGTAGGTCACTATCTCTCCGCATACCTGTGATTCCCACTCTTTGACTGGGCCCAGAGCTTGGTGTGAGGTAGGGTTTTCACCAGACAATTCTCTACCAGGGGAACTACAGAGAGGAAGTGGGTCTTAAGTAGGGTAGGGAGAGTGGGTGGGTGAGCACTGCGGGTGCAAAGGGACAGTTTGGGAGGCCCTGGGGACTTTCTCCTATGCCTGAACTCCTCCCCCAGACAGGGCAGCCAAGTGCCCCAACACCCCACAGGTTGTGAGCCTCTGGCTGGGTTTCTGACTCTTCCCATCCATGTCCTATTTCTCTCTCACCCTCTGCAGTGTACCCCCTCTCCCTTCATCTTAGAATTTGTTTACTACCTATTGCTCCCCTCATCCATCCTTCCCTCCCAACTTCAGGTGAGACAAGGTAGGCCTGGGGGGGCGCACTCCAACAGGCTTTACCCCAGCACAGCTGGACTCAGAAATGAGACAACCCCCCCCACACACACCCGCCCCCAATGGAGACTCCATGAAGAAGCCTGGTTGAAATGTAAGCCCTGAGCTTCTCTTGTTGCAATTTCTCTTCCTTTTCTGTTTCCTGGCCTCTACCCGGCGCTAGGCGTCTTGAAGCCCTCCTTTTTTAGGCTTCTTCCCCTTCAGCCCCTAGGGCCGACCCCTTTTTATTTGACTTGGCTAGGGCAGCGGTGAGAGGCAGCTTAGTAGAAGGGAAGCGAGTCCCTTACAGTAGCGCCTCTAGTGAGACTTTCTGGGGGTCTCCGGAAGCACAAGTGCCAAGAGTCTTTTTGTTTGTTTAACAAGGAAAACAATGGAGAGATGTGATTGTCTTCAAGCATCCCCCAGCAAAGTTCCTCGTCTGTCTCCAAAGTAAAAATACACACCATGGCTGTAACGTGAAATACGCATCCTTGACACCTTGAGACAAAATAGACTGCAAACACACTTGGGCGTCCGAAGATAAGATCGCCCAGAATACAAATACCTGCTACCACACGGGGACAGAAAGTGATCACGCACGCTAACCCCCTGTTGCACCGACGTTTCTACACATAGCGTAAGGACGAGGCTCGGAGGTGACAGCCCCGTCAGGGGTTAAGCCCGCCCTCCCCTCCTCCTTTCCTCTCTGCCCCTCCTCCTCCCTCCCCGCCGGCGTCACTGGTTTTCTTGTCGCGGGGCCGCCCCTCCCCGCCGGCCTCTGACGTGGCCCGCGGCGCGTCACTACCCGGCCGACGGGAAGCGCTGCCCTTATATGGGCGCAGGCTCCGAAGGGGTCCGCGGGGGCGGGAGGCAGGGCGACAGCTACCCGCTGTTCTCGGCCAGGCTCTCAACTTCCAAAAGATTCCCAGGCCCGGGCAAAGGTGAGCCCGTTTGGAGATAAGGACGTGGCTTTCCCATCTCCTCCAGAGAGCTGGAGAGCCCAGGTGGGCAGCCTTCCAAGACATTCTCTCCGGGCATCCTCCCTGTTTGTGTTTCTCTTGAAGTGTTCAGAGCTAGATTGAAATGCAGATGACAATTGGCCTTTAATAGATTCACTCAAATGGTCCCTTAATGCTCTGGATCCCTAATGTCCACGTCCAGAAGGCTGTGATGCAGAGGCCAGCGTGGAGTAGTGGAAAGGACAGGCTTGCCACTGCTGGGCTACCTTAAACAAGGCTTTTAGTCTCTTCCAGCCTCATTTACCTTATCCGTGAAGTGTAGAAGATTCTTGCCTGATGGAGTGGTTGTGAGGATCAGATGGGTGTTCAACTTGTTCGTGTAAAGCCACTTTTTAAGCTGTGAAGTGCTGTGCAAAATTACGGTGGTCACTTTGTACCCTGGAGGAGCCTTGTTCAGGTCCCTTGCTGAGGAAGGGAGCAGCAGAGGCCCAGATACTGACTTGGCTTCCAGAACCTGTCTCTGGGGCCTTGCCCAACCACTCTGGGAATGCCCTTGGCCCTGTGGAAAAGCTTCAGCTGTGTACACAAAGTCATCTGATGTATGCGTCTGTGCTTCCAAGGCTGTGATGGGCTGTTTCGGGCCGCTGCTAATACGCAAGTGGTGAGTATGCTTGAGATGGCCTTTCCAGTTAAACCACGGAAGGAAACCAGAATTGCCAAAAGACAGCGGGTGAGCAGTTGTGTGAATGCCTCATACAGTACTGGACTGTCTTCTGCCCCTGCTAATAAGATCTCCAAATCCAGCTCAGGACTCCCAGCCCCTAAAAGCTGTTTCATACTGGACACCAGCTAACTGCTGGTGCCTCCGTTCCAACCCTGTTCATTCATTTCGGACTGTGTTTTCTCAGTGCTCATCTGCCCACATTTCTCTGTCTGCTGGCAGCTTTGCCTGTGTGTCCTCTGTGTGCATGCTTCCTCCTCGTCCCCAACTTGGAGTTTCCTGAGGGCAGGAACAATTTCTCCCAAACTAGACTGAAGAGCCTCCACCCTCCATGCTTGAGGACAAGCACCAAGTCTCCTTCCTTTGATCGCTATAAAACAAGGAGGACAAAAGGTGTTCAGATCCTGGGGTCAAGTGACTGATTTATGACCCATATATAAATGGCAGTGAGGCATGGGAGGGTCAGACGAGGCCAGTCTCTGCAGTATTCACCTCCCCCTCTTTCTCTGCTTCCTGTCTCAGTGATCCCCACAGAATCCACTCCCTGCCAGGGAGAACTGTGCTGAGTTGTTGAGAAGTAGATTGCACAGTGTGCCCTGGCAATCTACTTCTACTTTTTTCTGGTAGAGGGTACCTGCCCCCACTAAAGCTCAAGACAAGTCTGAAGATGAAATCCCACTGCTGGTGCCAGTGAAGGCAACTCCAGCTGCAGGAAGCGTAGAGACACGAAAAGATGCCCCAGGAAAGAAGTCTCCAAAGAAGAGTCCTGGTACATACCTCATGGGAAGAAGAGAAAGGCCTCCCCAGCTTTGGAGACCCCAAGAGATGCGGAGCCCAAGACCCCAGGTAAAGGCCCAGGGAAGAATCAAAGAAGAGTTGGAGAAAGAAAGAACCTCTTCGCTGGGGAAAAAAGACCCAAGACAGACTCCTAAAAAGTCTGAGGCCAAGTTCTTCACTACTGCTAGTAAATCTGAGAAAAAAGCTCCCCATACCCTCTAAGAGTGGCCCAAAGAACTCAAACTACCCCAGTCAACCTAACATCAGACACTCAACCAGCAGGAAACTCATCAGAGCTATCCAAAGAGCTTGGAAAAAATACCTGGGTCCTGCCCCCCGTTGTAACTACTGAGTAAGGCCTAGACTTAAATATTTTTTAAAACCTCCACAAGTAATTCTGATACGTGTTCATGGGTGTAAGAACCAGTGGTGTGAAGTAATCCATTTATTTCATTGCTCTTCTGTGTATTTACTAATGCAATAGAGGGAAAATAGAGTTTCTTCTAATCTACTTTTTTTTTTTAAATTAGACGTATGGGGTTTTTTGTGTGTTTTTTTAAATTAATTAATTAATTAATTTTGGCTGCGTTGGGTCTTCATTGCTGCACGTGGGCTTTCTCTAGTTGTGGCGAGCAGGGGCTACTGTTCTTTGCAGTGCACGGGCTTTTCATTGTGGTGGCTTCTCTTGTTTCGGAACACAGGCTCTAGGCACCCGTGGGCTTCAGTAGTTGTGGCACATGGGCTCAGTAGTTGTGGCTCACGGGCTCTAGAGTGCAGGCTCAGCAGTTGTGGTGCACGTGATTAGCTGCTCTGCGGCACATGGGATCTTCCCGGACCAGGGCTTGAACCCATGTCCCCTGCATTGGCAGGCAGATTCTTAACCACTGCGCTACCAGGGAAGGTACCCTGCTAGGAGGCAGGTACCCTCCTTTTGGAGGTGGTTGTTCTCATTAAAGGTAAGGCACTTGAGGGTGATACCTAAGGCCATGTTCCCAGTTGGTAAACTGTCAGCTGAGATCCACTGCTCCTTAGGTGCTGGCTAAGATTGGTTCAAAGCTTCATTCTAGGGCTTCCCTGGTGGCGCAGTGGTTGAGAGTCCGCCTGCCGATGCAGGGGACGCGGGTTCGTGCCCCGGTCAGGGAAGATCCCACATGCCGCGGAGCGCCTGGGCCCATGAGCCATGGCCGGTGAGCCTGCGCGTCCGGAGCCTGTGCTCCGCAACAGGAGAGGCCACAACAGTGAGAGGCCCGCGTACCGAAGGAAAAAAAAAAAAAACATCTTCATTCTAAGAACTGTGGGAAATCCAATGCCCCTCCTCAAAATATTCCAGATTCCTCCAGGAGTGGGGGTGTCTCTAGCTCTGAGCTCCTATTTTTCTTAAGTCAAATCGGTTTAGGAATCATCTTGCCAATCTATAAGTGCTCTTGCTATGTGAGCGGTGTATTTCAGCCCTTTTCCTTTCAGATTCTTCCTGTTTTCTTTTGCAGAGTAAGTCACCTCTTTCTAACCCCTACCCACACTTCTGTGCCTCTCTACAAATTCAGTGAGATGGGCCCAAAGCTTCTGTGTGTTTAAGTTCTTAGGCAGAGTCCCTCCTCCTAAGCCAGGCCAGGCTGGAGTGGGGTGGTTGGTGGTCTTCCTGGACTTACATACGTTTTTGGTTTTTTTGTTTGTTTGTTTTTTGTTTTTTTTCAGCACACGGGCCTCTCACTGATATTACAACATAGGGATTCACACAGATTAAGGAAGAGACAGGGTGGGTCTCCTGGCCCACACTCTCTTGTTATAGATAAGCAGAGTGTGACTCAGGGAGGTGACTCCCAATCCAGCCACCAGGCTCCCTCCTCTGAACCACAGGTATCAAATGCTTGGCCTCCGCTGGCTCTGAGCCATGGTGCAGTTGAGAAATACCTGGGGCCCAGAGCCAGGAGGCCAGAGGGGGAAGCTGCAGTACCTCTTTATTTATTTATTTGTTTATTTATTTATCTTACATCTTTATTGGGGTATAATTGCTTTACAATGGTGTGTTAGTTTCTGCTTTATAACAAAGTGAATCAGTTATACATATACATATGTTCCCATATCTCCTCCCTCTTGCGTCTCCCTCCCTCCCACCTTCCCTATCCCACCCATCTAGGTGGTCACAAAGCGCGTGCAGTACCTCTTTAGATTCTTCCTCATGTCCCTTTTTATTGAGTCTGTCTTTCTCCACACATTAGCCCCCTACCCAGGGGGGTTTCTGGCTATCACAGCTGTGATGCCAGCTTCCTGCCTGCCCCAGACACCCAGCCCCAGGAGGCCCAGCCCCATTAAGGCTCTGCCAAAACAACATCTGGGGCAGCTCCAACAGCCTCAGGGCCTCTTCTCTTGTTTTCTGTCTGGAGATGAAGGGGGTTTATGCTGGGCCCCTGGGAGTGAGGATGAGGAGCGTTTGCAATGTGTCTGTCTTCTAAGTTTGGGAAAGAGGCAATAAATTCAGCTTCAGATCTGCTGCTGTCCCCAAGTCCGTGTGTTCCCCGTTGAGTTTACGGCACTTTCAGCCACACCTTCGAGTACTATTGGAGAAGGCCCAGAGGGTGAAGGTGTGGGAGGTCACATTCCTGGGGGGCCCTCCAGGATAATAGACTTTTAACAGATAGTCTCCATCCTTTTGCTCCTCTGATACACCTAGGGAGTCACAGAAACAAAAACACATCGCTGGGGACCTTTCCAGCCAGATACTGGTCTAGCCATCTGTCCACATGTCTTCTCTCCCCCAGCTCCCACCTTATTCACACTCTCTCTCATACACCCTCAACCATCCTGCCTTCCTTTGCTCTGTCCTCACCACAGGCCCGTGCTGGTAAAGGAGGGAAGGAAACCGGAGCATTCCTCTAGTGGGTCAGTAGGGCACAGCAGCTGAGAAGCAACCCTCAAGGGAATAGCTATCTTTGGGGAGCAGATCTCCTCCCTAGATAGGAACTGACGTACTGTCAGCATATGTCACAAGTTTGATGAATTAATAACACTTTCCAGCGCTCCCTCCCAGCAGAAGGAGAATGAACCTGTATGAGCCAATGTGGTGCAGGATGATATAAGGGGATGAAGAGGTGACTTTGGAGAGCACAAAGCAGGCCCTTAGAGCCCAATTCCAGGAACCTGGAGGCCTCAACCCTCCAAGCCACAGAGGTCACCTGTGGTCCCCTGGCTGACCCCTGAGAGCAAAAGTGGCAGTTCCCTGTCCTGTCCAACACTCTGTGTCTCATGTTTTTGTGGCTCTTTGCCCTGAGACCCTGAATTCAGTTGTCTCCCAAGGCCCAGTCAGGTCTAAGTCCTCACTCCTCCTCCCACTGGTCGCCGTCCAAAGGACAAACACTCTCATCCCCACCCTCTGTGTAAGCGCTCTCTGCTAATCCAACTCCCGCCACCTCCCTCTCAAACCCTCTTGTGTCCAGCAAAATCCCTTGTAGCCTCAAGCCCATCCAAGCATTTTCTGTGCCTCCTGACCCTAGCTGAAACGGGGCTGTCTCAAGGGGCGCTTGTTCCTCTGTCACAGCCCACACCCCTCAGGCTCACGTGGGGGGGCAGCATCTTCCGTGCTCTGCATTACCGCTTCCGACCGTCACTCCGCATCACCTTCTCTGAAGTTCATTTTGTCCTGCTGTACCATCGTCTTTGACCCTCCTGGTCACTCTTTCTCACTGACCCCAGGTCTTGCCCCTGCAGGGCTCACAGTCTTTCTCTCTGTCCCAAACTCCTGCCTCCACCTGAGGAAACATCAACCTGTGTGTGAGCAGCTGAATTCATTCTGCCTCCTGGGCTTTCAGCCTCCTACTCCACCTGACCATATCCTGCCCTCAGCTTCCAACACCTGCCACTCCAAAACCCACCACTGTTCCTCCAGAGCCTGGCACCAAGGGAACTCAATAAATAGTCCCTGAATAAGTGAAAAAATGAATGAGGGAGTGAATGAAGCCTGTGTCACAAGACGGGATGTGGAAAAATGGAAAGGGCACTAGATGGGGTGGGAGACGGAGGTTCGCCACTAAACAGCTGTGTGATTTTGGGCATCTTTTCCCATCTCACAGCCTCCTTTTCTTCATCTGCAAAATTAAAAATTTTGTGTAGATGATTTCTGAAAACCCTGCTTCTGACTGTTGGCAATACCAAGCTGTGGTTTACTTATACTTATCTGTAATATTTAGGCTTTGCACTAAGCTCTTTCTATATGTTACTACTTATCTACCCAGTAAGTATGTGAAGAACATATTGTCCTCATTATAAAGATGAGAAAAATTGAGGATAAGAGAGATTAAAGATTTGCCTTGTCATAGATAGTAGGTGGCAGATTCAGGATTAGAATCCAGGTTGGTCAACAAAAGCAAGTATGTCTGAATGTGTCTCAAGATGAAAGAAGCCTCCTCTTTAGAGGAACTGCTGTCTGCTCTTCTAAACTAGGCCTCCGAGGGAGATTTCCCTGGCGGTCCAGTGGTTAAGACTCTGCACTTCCACTGCAGGGGGCACGGATTTGATCCCTGGTCAGGGAACCAAGATCCCACATGCTGCGTGGTGAGGCCAAAAAATATATATATAAATAAATAAGGATAAACGAGGCTTCCCGTAGTGAAGGTCTCTCTGAAGTGGCAGGGGGCTGCCTTCAGAATCCTGGCTGGGGGTACAGGCCACCCTTTGCGTGTGCCTGACCACCACCAGTTCAGCCAGCAGTTATGAGCCAGGTGCTGCAGGAGGGGGAGGGGTTGACACAGATGGTGGTGTCTGGGCAGACGTGTCAGGTGGGTTTGGAGCTCTAAGAGTGCCTCTGAGACAAGGTGTGCTGAGTGGGGTCCATGGACCACTGCATCAGAATGGCCTGGATTCTCATTACAAACAGGCCCATATCCCATCTCAAACTACGAATTAGAATATCAAGGGAGAGGCTGCTTAATCTGAATTTTTACCAAACTCCCCAGTGATCTGAGTTACTGTCCTAAGAAGTCCCAGGGTGTAGGGATTTGAATGCCGGATAACAGATTTTTAATTAATGCTGTAGGCAATGAGAAGCCACTGAAGTTTTTTAAAGGATGGGGCAGAAAGACTGGGGGAGGGAGGACACTGCCCATGGCAAGAGGCGAAAACAGGAGAGATGTTGCAATTGCAGACTCTCTAGGCCTTGGAAACTGATTAACAGGGGTACAGTTAAAGGTGTCTGCAGACTGTGAGCCTGGTGACCAGACAAAGAATGGTAATGCTATTGAGGGAGAGAACGAAATCAGAAGTAGAGAAAGGAGAAAAGTATCTTGATTCCTACATGTTGAGATAAAAACACCAGAAAAAATATTTCAAAAATGTCCAGTTCTCAACTGAAAAAAAAAAAAGTAGTTGGGAGTTCAGCAGGAAAGTTAGGGTTAGAGATGATGCTTTGACATTTGCTCTGTATCGGGAGATGCTAATTCAAATACCTCCAGGATCAAGGCAAGTTATACAAAAGAGGATTAAGCGTAATAATAATAACAAATCCCAGCATCCAGCCCTGGTAAATGATAACCACCAGTTGGTCTCAGCAGGGATTCGATAAAGAGTTGGTGGGGACCCGGGTGAACTGAAGGACACACTTCCTGTCTTAAGTAACAGTCATTGCTGAATAAGAAGGTGGAACCGGTGTAAACAGATATTCTGATTTTTAAAGAGAAATTATAATTCTAGGGTTTTATTTTGATATGACACTTCCTAATCGTTAAATGCTGACAACTAAGTTTTTAAATGCTTAAACACTGTAGAGACCAAACACTATATATCTGTGACTGAGTCAGCTCTGCCTCACAGGCTTCCAACTTGTGACTTCTGAGCTACACGGACCGTATTTGGGAGAGAGAGTTGAGCACACTGAGAGGAAATCCAGAGACTGTGTGCTGTGGAGAACAATGACCCACCCAGGCTCCCAAGTTTGCCTATGCGTGAGCCCAGTAAAGCTTAGAGAGGCCCTGATTGTTTTAGCCACCAGGTGTCTGATGGGCTCCCGGGTTGGTGGTAGCAGGTGGAGCCTGCATCTGCCTTGGCTATTTCTATTCAGCACCTGGAGACTGTGTGGGCAATGGCTGACGTTCTGATACTTTGCAGGTTAGATGCTGCTTGGGGCCAGCAGACTTCACTCCACTACCCTCTGTGGCTATTTTCATCCTTCACTATAAAGGTGCCCTCTACCTCAGTGTCTGAGTCCTGACTGGAGCAGACATCTTGTTTAGCATATCCTAGATGCTCACTTTCCTATAAGGAAGTTCTTCTGTTGCTTAATTTAGGTGCTTTTTATACGATGGAATCTTCTTTTTGCATCTATCTTCAGAGCAAGTGGAGAAATGGGTTACTTTTTAGCTTTCTGACTCTTCTCCAGCCCTCAAGGCATTCTTAGAAATGGTCCTTAGGGACTTGAAAATTGTTGTGACCTGGGGATTAGAAAGCCCTTTTCATATTTATATTCTACCAAGCCTTCCTTCAGTCCAGATGGGTAGTTTTCCACTCTACCCTAATCATCTTCGCATTATCTGTTTCTGTCCCTGTTCTCAGTTCACTTTGGGGTAGGGGGGAGGGATTTAAAGACAGAAACTTAAAGATAGCTAACATCCCCACTTTCTTAGTCTTTGTTAGCAGTTTCTAGGGACAATGTCATCTTTTTTTGTCCTCGATTCCTGTTCCTGATTCTAAAGAGTAACCCCCAGACTGTCTGGCCTAGATCTGAACTTGAAGGGTACAACTTTGTAAGAAGGTGATAGGGAACTCAAAAAGATGTTCTGGACATTACCCAATGATGCTTGCAAAGAATTATGAATATATTTAGTGGTATTTCCACTCTGATTAGAAAGTGAAGAAGAGGCATCTGTCCTCCCTGGGTGATGTTTCTTATCAGCTCTGGTGCGCAGAGCAAGGTTGTCACCGATGAGGCCTGAAAAGAGGAAAGATCAAATTAGCATCTATACCAGCCACACTCAGACATGCCTGCCAAAATACACACTCCAACAAAACACCCACACATCAAAATGATGTTCTTCAACATATACTAAGTACGTGTTAACATCTGTAAACATATATCCACATTCCCTCCTATCCACAGACATCATACACATTTCAGTATGTACACTCAAATATATATATACTGCCCTCCTACCCACACTGATACACACATACACACACACATACACATGCACACTCACACACAGACGTAGTAAAACTACACACTGCACAGTGTAGGAGTGAGCTGATGTCATCTTCCTAGAATATTGCAGCCCAGACTCTGCCTGCAGATCAACTTTACTCAACCTCAGGTTTCAACATGTGGTCAGGAAACTGGGAGGTAGCCTTGACAACCAAGCCAAGACCCTGCAGGCCCAGCAGGATGCTGAGCAAGACAGTCGCGTACAACGTTCTGGTTGCTCCTGACTGGGAAGTAGAGAGCAAGGCATGTGTGATGACTCCACAGACAAGGCCAGGGCTGAGACCTGAGGAGAGGGACCCAGTTCTGGTGGGGATTTGGTCTGAAGAGGGCAGTTTGGGATGCTGTGGGTCACTCTAGAGGGGCCACACAGGTAGGCTGTGCAAGTGGGTGAGATGGGCATCCAGGACCAAGGGAGCCAGTGGGTAGGGGTTGCATGGTACAGAAGAAGTTTCTGATCCAGTTGAGGCACAAACTAGCATCCACCCCCAGCTCCACCACTACCTGCCCACTTGGCAGTAGGTAGAGCCACAGGTCAGCACAGTGTCAGGACATTTAATGTTCAAAATTCAACTCAAGGGCCTTCGGAGGAGGGGAAGAGAGGAGTGAGGAAGAAGAGGAGAAGAGGGAGGGAGGGACACACTGTCCTTATCCTGATGCTTGAACTATGCCTTGGCTCTACCGAGGAAAGGGAGGCAGCAGGCAACAGAAGAAGAAGTGAAATCTGGACTTTAGAGCTTCTAAGGACCGTGGTCCTAGCAGTATAAGGGCAGTTTCAGCAAATTCCAAAAGTAATTTGGATTATTATAATGTATTGGGTTGGCCAAAAAGTTTGTTCTGGTTTGACCATAAGATGGGACAAAAACCCGAACGAACTTTTTGGCCACCCCAATAGTTGGCCTTAAGCTGATCGAGAATCTAAATCCTGAGTTGGGTACAACTACACTGTAGAGTAACTTGGAAACTTTGAATGTTGGCTACATTAAACTCCCTCTCCCTAGGCTTGTGTATAGAAAGAAGAGAGGATGAGAAAGTAGGTGAAGTGCTTTCTGGTTCTTATTATCACTGCCCTCTACAAAGTTCAGAACTAATCACCAATGATGAGAATAAGACACTTCCTAGGTAATGGGGGAATGTGGGGGATAAGACCTTGCTACTGTCCAAAAATGAAGACTGTTTCCCTCCAGTTCATTGCATCATCATCTAGAACAGCTCTGTGGGATGAGGTGGGACCAGCAGCCATTGTAATAGCACAGGGACTCCATGGTCTAATGAAAAGGGCATATTTGAAGTCAGCAGATCTGGTGCCAGTCCTGGCTCTATTAAGAACTAGCTGTGTGACCTGGTGAGTGATACGAGAACCTACATAAGGACAGAGTTCTATTTCCTAAGTCAAAAAACAGGTGATGATCTGTCACAAGACTTTTTTTTCCGTCAATTATGGACTAAAGCAAGGCCCAGAACACCAGACCCCAGTCAACAGCATAGTCAGGAAGATGTTAAGTATTTTCAGGTTTTGGTGCTAAACCACCCTGTCTATACCTTGACCTGTTTCCCTGGCCTCCTTGGTGGTTGACCTTGGTCAATTCTGGTCTTGCTGACACCAGATCTTTTTGTTTGATGCATTCCAGGTTATCTTGTTTCCAGTCCTAGCCCTGTTTCCAGTAACAATTGTTTCCCCCTCAATGAGCAGAGGTCTCACCTGGCCTGATCCAGCTTTGTGGAGGAGCCAGTGAAGAGGCCATCTAAGAGATGTGTTCAATGCCAAAATACTAGAATTCCAGGGCATTTTAGTGAGCTATATGAAGCAATGGAGCAGAATATTTGAAACCTGAACTGTCCTGGAAATGTAGGACATATGAGCATAGTAACCTGTTTTCAAGCAGTCTGCAAACAAGATGTCAACCTCTAAAAAGATCACTAAGAATATCAAACAACAGATTATAAATGCCAAATGGATGGTATGGATAATATTAATTCTGTAGTGAGAAAATGGTCAGCACAGGTTTTCAAGGTGGAGGACCAAGCTTAAGCTGTGCATTCAGGAGTGTGAGGGATTGGGAAAGATGGGAAGGAGGCAGTGAGGTATCCAAGAGATAATGGCATGAGCCATGGTGCAGCAATGCCAGGCACATATAGGCATACATGGAATGGGGACCACATTACAGGGCAGGGATAGGGATCATAGGCAAATGTTGAGGGCTCTGGGATGCAGAGCTGCTCTGATGCTTAGAGAACAGTGATGAGAGTCACCTTGGAGCACAAAGTGGCAGAAACCTAAAAAGATAGATGGGGCCAAATTATGAAAGGTCTTAACTATTAGGCAAAGAAGTCCATACTTAATGCAGTAGACAAATGGAGGGTGTCTCAGAATGATCTGAGCAAAAGAAGAGCAAGTGAATGTAGAACTTTAGGAAGGTAAGTCTACTAACAGTGGGAAGGGTGATTTGGGGATTGGATTTGACAGAGTCTACTGCAATCATCTAGATATGAAGAAGCAACAGGTCTTGAGACTGGATCTAAGGAGCAAAGTACAAGGTGAAGCCAAAACTGAGTCTGAGTTTTCTGGGTAGAGTGACTGGGAACCGATGGTATCTGATAGAAATGGAGATCAGGAAGGAAGCTGGCCTTGGAGAAGACAGTGGGCTTAGACTGACATTGATGTGGTGGCTGGACATCCAAGGGGAGAGACAGAGCAGGTAGGAGGGGCGGGATGAGAGAAGATGTGGACAGACTATGCAGATAAGAAAGTCAATAGTAAAAAAGTAAACATCAAAATGGACAACATGAATAGAATCTCTCTAAGGAAAGAAAGTGGAGAGAAAAGGAAGAGTGAGTGGATATAGTGAGGGAACGGGGACAGGAAGAGATCCAGGGGAGACACAGCCGGGGAAGGAGGCAGAGAAACCTGGGGTCAAGGAAAAAGAGGGGAGACTGCCTCCAGGAAAATGTGGTCAAGGAAAATAAGAATTTACAGAGGCCACTGGGTTTGATTCATTTAACATATACGTATGAGGCACCTATGTATGCTGGACCCTGGTATATTAAGAATTATCCCCATTCAACAGACCTCTAGGAGTGCCTGTGATGCTGCCAGGTTCTGAGCCTGGTTCCCCGTGTGGAAGAGGAAAACTGAAAAGTTTCACAACACTCCCTCCACCCCTACCCACCCAGCAGTCGGTAAGACTCGGATGGTTCTAGGCAAGAGAAAAGGCATTGCTGTAGAAGAGCATAACTTGTTGGGGAAGTTGGTATTATTGTGAAAGTAAACAGAATACTTAGTCTCCATTTCCGGAGAGCCAAGAGGAACCCATTCCGACTAGTTGGGAAACGCGGCAAAGCGGTAAAATGGGTGAGTTCTGACAGGGTGTGGTTGAAAGTGGGGGAATCAGAAAAGGCGACCTCCTGGTAGAGGTGGTGTCAACGAAGGCTTCTTCTTGGAGGTGTTCTTTAACCTGTCTGGAAGAATGGGAGAATAGGAGAGGTCAGAGAATCCCCAGCTTGAAGCGCCGCTCTCCTTCCCAGAGAGCCTTCGGCCCCCCCACCTCTTTCTCCTCCCGCCTCCCTCAGCCTGCAAGCTCAGCTACGGTTCCCAGCACTGACGTCAGCGGGCGATGACCTCAGCGCAGAGGAGGTGGCGGTAGGTGGGGGCGGGACTGAGACCGATGGCGCGCGGGGCGGGGCGGAGGCCAGGCTCCGCCCCTATCCGCTGGCTGCGGCCAATGAACTCCGCCGCCGGCTCCTCCGGCTCTCGCAACAGTATGAAAGGCGTGTAGCAGGTAAAGTCCGGGCAAAGCCCTCGCGACTGGCGAGCGAGCAGAGGCTTACGGTTCGGCACGTCCCATCAGAGACCTCTCTCTGACCCCCGCCTCCGCCACCGCTCCCAGAGTTGCACACGACATGAGCCAGGCCAGCTGGACCGGGAAGAGAACAGACATGCTCCCGGAGATCGCCGCCGCTGTGGGTTTCCTCTCCAGCCTTCTGAGGACCCGGGGCTGCGTGAACGAGCAGCGACTTCAGGTTTTCAGCGGGGCTCTCCAGGAAGCCCTGACGGGTGAGCACATTGCGGAGGGTCCTGGCGCCCGTCGAACCCTGACACCGGGGTTCGGCCCCCCTCCCTGCCTGAGGCGTCTTTCCTCTCCACTTAGGGCAGGGCTCCCCACTCGAGCAGCTCCGGGACTCGGTTTCCTTCCAGCTCCCGGGGCGGCCTGCAGTCTCCTCCCCCCACCCCCACATCCCCACCTTCCGCCCATTCCTCTGGGTCCTGTCCCTCCTCCTCGGCCCTGCTCTAGGGTCTCGGTCCGCGGTTGTTCTGGTTGGGCGCTCCCCTCCAAGCTGTCGCGGGCGCAAACACTAGACCTGAGTGCGATCCCGAGTCCCCGGCTTATGTCCCGGAAGGGGGGGGGGGGTACCTGCGGGTCTGAGTGCGAGCTCATCTCCCTCTCAGTGGACCCTGAGACCCTGCAGGCAACAAAGCCTGACCGGCCGGGGGGTCGTTATGGAACAAGAAGGCGCAATTGAACCTTCTCAACAACTTGGTGTCCCAGCCGTGGTTCTTCCCGCCGCGCGGGGCTGCGCTGAGCCTGCGTCTGCTGTTCACTCAGTCGAAGTTGGAATCCGGGCCCCCTTTGTATTTTCTGCCCACCCCCTTAGCCATCTGCCACCTATTATGGTACAGAGAGAGCCTTGTACGTAGTAACTGCGCTCTGCGGGCGTGTGTCGGGGTTGGGGGCGGTGCGGTGTGAGACGGAGGAGGTTGACAAGATACAAGCAGCCGCTGGCTGGGGAAGAGACCCATCTCCCAGCTGTTTCTAGCGGGTTGGCCGGCGGTCTTGGGCAGCAATAGCCATCTCTGAACGTGCCCACACAGATCCTGCCTTCTGAAGAACAACGTATGTTTCACCCAAACATCCCGGTTTTGCCTCCCTTACCCGCTGAGACAGGCCTCTGACTTTTCAAGGCAGAGGGAACCACTGAGGCACAGGGTGGGAGACATGGGTCCGACAATGATGGCAGCCTTCTTGGCCTTGAAACTTCAGCTCATAGGTCCCCAGAGGCCCTGCCTGGACATGCCAGCCCCAGTCACACCCCTCCTCCTTAAACTGGGGATGTGCCAAAGGCAATATACTGGCTACAGAGGATTGACCCAGAGCTCTGGGACACCCTCCCGATACACATAAACCCTTGTCCTGGAAGGAGGGGTTTTTCCAGATCCCGTAATTTTTTTTTCTGCTACAGTGTCAGGAGGGTTTCAGGAGGGTCCTGAAACTCATGAGAAACCATGTTGCTTACTTAAAATCACTAGGTCCCTTCCTCTCCTATCCCATCACCCCCACCCACCTTGTGTAGCATCCATGGCCCAACTGTTCTAACCAGTCCATATCCCCCTTGTCCTGTCTCCACAGAGCACTACAAACACCACTGGTTTCCTGAAAAACCATCCAAGGGCTCTGGCTACCGCTGCATCCGAATCAACCACAAAATGGACCCCATCATCAGTAAAGTGGCTAGCCAGATTGGACTCAGCCAGCCTCAGCTGCACCGGCTGCTGCCCAGTGAGCTGACCCTGTGGGTGGACCCCTACGAGGTGTCCTACCGCATTGGGGAGGATGGCTCCATCTGCGTCCTGTACGAGGAGGCCCCGGTGGCCACCTCCTATGGGCTCCTCACCTGCAAGAACCAAATGATGCTGGGCAGGAGCAGCCCCTCAAAGAACTACATCATGGCAGTCTCCAGTTAGATCCCCCACCACCCCACCCGGTGCTCTGCTGTACTCATTCTGCTGTGACAACAGGCCACTGCATACCTCTACCTGGGGAATTGTATTTTAAGTGAAGAGTTATTTATATATATATATATTATTTTTTTTAAGAAAAGGGGGGAAAAATACCAAAAGATTTTTTTAAGAAAAAAATCCTTAAAGGGAGCTGCTTGCAAGTGGCCTCCCCAGGTGCCTTTGGAGAGAATTGTTGTGTGCTTGATTCTGGGAGGCAGTGTCTGGAATGGGAGGGGGGAATGGTCAGGGAGGGCATGGGTCTGGCCAAGGTAAGGTGGGAGAAGCTTGGCTAGCAACCCAGGAAGATGTGAGAGGGAGCAAGCAAGGTTAGTACTGTGAATGAGAGAGGTCAGGATCTGCCCTGGGGAGAGAAGAGAGGCTGAGTTCAAACCTCTCACCCAGGACACCTGCATCCCTGGCCCCTCTCTTACTCTTAACTCAGGGGCATTCAAGCCTGGACTTAAATCATACTATATTGCCTAATCTTCTCTTTCAATTTTTGATGAGATTCTAGGCAGAGAGTGAAAAGGCCTCTCCTGATTCCTTCTGTCCTGAGCAGCTTTTCTTGAAATCATGACTTGTTTCTAATTCTATTCTCAGGGGGCTGTAGATGTTGCTTCCCACCAAGAATATAAAGCTTTTTGTTTTGGGAGTCAGGGGAGTGAGGCAGGGGTTGAGGGTTATTGGAGTTGGGAGAGAAGGGCACTCTGCACAAAACCTTTGCCTTGCTATGAGCTGCTCTATGTGTGAGTATGTGTGGCAAATACCTTGGGGTTGATTTGCAATGGAATTTTGGGACCCATAGAGTATCCACTGGGATATTTTTTGACCAAAACCCTTCTTTTGTAACCAGACAGAAGTCCTCATGATGCTGCCATTATCCCTTTGAGAGGTGGCTCAAAAGCTACAGGGAACTTCAGGTCCTTGAATACTGCCTTCTTTTTAAAAGCACAACACTCCTCTCTAACTGCCCCCCTCCCCGCCGCTCCTCTCCCCTTCTGGTTGGGTCATGGAGCTACCCTATTTTCTAGGACAAGAGTTCTCAGTCACTGTGCAATATGGCCTCCTGGGTCCCAGGAGGATCTGGAGGAGAACTGGCTCTCACAACCTCCTGGTGCCCTGGTGGGCTTAAGGAACCATTTCTCCCTCTGTCCTCAGGACTATGGCTGGATGCTTAGCCTTGCAGATATTCCTTGGCTGAATGGGAGAATGCCCGAAGTTCTGCAGGACTACTTGGTATTCTTGTAGGGCTGACACTGAAAGCCAAACCTTGGGCATTGTTTTTTCTCCCTGGTGCTCAGAGCACCTGTGGGAGAGGCTACTGTCTCTCTCAGTACAATCCAAATTTGTCTATAGACTTGTGCAATACTTACTGTTCTGGGTTGGAGAAAAATGGAAAATTACACAGGGAAGAAATCTCCTTCCTTCAGTTTCTCGGTGACATTAGTGAGGGATCCTCAGAAGGCTTTGAATTTCCCAAACCTGAATCACCTTAAGAAGGATGTAGCTAGAACATCTGGTCAACCTGGCTACCCTCCTGCTGTTGCCTTTAGTGAGGAAACTTTCTCCCCACTGCCAGTCCCCTTTCCTGCATTTCTTAAATACTCAATTCTGACTCAAGGGTGCTAGTTACCAAACACTCCCCTACCCATTCCTGCCAGTACTGCCTCTTCAACTTTCCAGATCCCGAGTACCTTCCCAGATCCTTTTTCCAGTCCTTATTGCTTTAAAGTTAACTTCAGGCCAGTAGACCCAAGAGCTCATTTTCTGGTCTGTGGGTTGAAACAAAGCTGTGAATCACTGCAGATTGTTGTTGCATCTTGTCTGCAAACAGGTCCCTGCCTTTTTATAAGCAGCCTCATGGTCTCATTCTTAATCTTTTCTCTCTTCTTTTTCACGTTCACTTTAAAAACAACAAAACACCCAGAGCTGGACTGTTGAGCAGGCCTGTCTCTCCCATTAAGTAAAAATAAATAGTACGTTTGTAAGCTATTCTGACAGAAAACACAAAGGTTACTAATTGTATAATAGTGTTTTTATATGGAAGAATGTACAGCTTTATGGACAAATGTACACTTTTTTTTGGTTTCTTTAATAAAAGTGTAGCAGATGAAGTCGTGTGGTATAGAGAAGATAAAATTCCCACATCACTAATTTGCGTTTCCCTCAGAAGCAAATCCTTTGTGCCTCATAGTATTTCTCTTCAGTTGGATTCAGCAGACCTATCGCGTAGGTGGTAGGGACATTTCCAAGCATCCCCTCTTTCCTGGGAGATAGCTCCTTACTTCCCTTCTTTAATGCATATTCTAACTTCCCTGTGAAAATGCTAGATGGGCCAGTGTTCTAGTCTGAGCATTCCTCAGTCTAGCCAGGGCTCATCTTATGCATCCTGTTCTTCCTCCGCCTTACTCATTAGTTCATTCTGCAAGCATTTATTGTATGTGCTAGGTACTAAAATTATTAAAAATGATTAAGACTCACAGCCCGCTCACAGACTGGGATGGTTAACAGAGGACACTGAACCCCTTTCCAGGTTGGGGCAGAATTTTTTGAAATTCCTGCTCAAGCTCTCTTGTCATCTTTGGGGCTCCCACTTGGCAACCACCATTCTTATTATACAAGAGCAATTGGGCCTCAGGATACAGGCACTGGAGCTGAACATGTGACAGAAGGCCAATGTTACCAGTTAGCTAAAAAGGAGCTGCTTCTGACAGCAAACACCATAGGTCTGTTACCCTTTATAACTCTGGCTATGTAGATAGGATCTATGCAAGGACATAGAAACACCCTTTCTCATCCCTGATTCTAGGGTTCTGCCCATGAGGTTTTGAAACAGGCTTCCCCACCCCCACTTCACTTGCTAGCTCCGCAGTTTGCACTAAGGTCGGTCACAAGTACATTTTTGACCTGGGCTATCTTTTTTCTTGGCTGTACGTGGGCTATACTGAAACTAAATTGTAAACATGTTGTCTCATGAGCAGTGGTACCACCCTACACACACACACACACACACACACACACACACACACACACACACACACACACACTTCATTTCATACCTCCATGACCCTCATCAACAAACATGCAGTTTGACCTAGGTGTCTTAGGTGGGAGGTAGGCCTGGGAGTCTGTGTGTGATATACTGGGAGGGTAGGTGAGCCAGGAGATGGGGGTCAGGGAAGCTAGCTCATTTGTATCACAAATAGAATTGGTTAGGGACCCACTTGTGTCAAGGAGTTGTTTAAAAGAATGGTCCCATTTTCATGTCTAGCTTCTAACACAAATGTCCTAGGTACTCATTTGTTAAGGACCTACCTAGGTCCTTAACAAATGAGGTTAGGGTCGAATTTTTGCCATCCTGGTGTACTCTTCTCTTATTCAGTACAAAATCAGCATCTAACTTCTTGTTTCCTAACAGGCTTCTCTCATGAAGGATATTTCATTGTTTAGTCAAAGGCCTGAAATTCAGGGAGGGTTGTCTGGGGGTTAAGGGGACACCGTCACCCACCTCTGTTTCCAAGCCAGGTAAACCACAGAATGGCAGATTGATCTTGAGGTTTCTCATGGCTCTAGGTAGAACTAATAGTCCCTCAATTTAAATAAGAGGGTTCTGTGATCAAGCAGTTTGTTATTTACTTTAGATCTGACCAATGTCAATAGGAGTGGAGAGTACCCCTTAGCCAGGTGAGGGGATAGGGGCTGTAGACAAGAATTGCTTGAGGAATTGCAGTTGGTGGCTTTTATGTGTTCAGGGACTGGGCATTGGTTGGTCCATTCTGCTCCCAGCTTCCCCGCTTGGTAAACAGTGCCAGCCTGGGAGACCTGTGCTTGGTCAGCTGTTTCTGGATGATAAGCACCACCCCAAAGAGTGTAGACAAGGCCCTGGGAGCTGCAGATTAAGAGCCCATCCTGGCTCCTGATAAGGAGGTTTGGGTGGGGAAGTCCTTGATGCTGCAACAAACGAGCCCCGGGGGAAGAAACCCACTTCTGTGAGGCTGACATCTGTTCCTCGAGTAGCCTGTGGTCCGGAAAGATAGTGAGGACTCCTGGCTTCCAAGCCAGTGCTGGCACCCGGCCCAAAAAAGAGTGGTGCAATAGAAAGAGTTCTGGGCTGGGGTGGGGTGGGGGGGCGGGGGGTAGAATCTATGGGCTGTGGTCCAGGTTCTTCTTCCTAACTAGCTATGTGAGTTCATATAAACCCTGAAAGTTTCCTGTCTCAGAAATTAGGGCGTGGATTAGATGAACTCTGTTCCTTTCTTCAGCTTCTGGTTCTAAATTATCTCCATTATCCTAGCAATTACTGGAGAGCAAATTAGCACAATTATTATCATATTTTCAGTTAGTTGAACTGAAAGTTCATTGGGGCTGGGAAGTGAAGTCTGTAATAATCTTCCCTTGTTTGCCTCAGACTCCTGCCTGATAAGGTTTCAGTTTCCAGGTCTAGTGAGACAGTGCTGCAAAGAGGTCAGGAGCTCAGGCCCTGGTGTCAGGCTGCCTGGAGGTCTAATCTCAGCTCTACCACCTACCTACTGGCTGTGAAACCTGGGGCAGATTACTTCACCAGGCCTCCATTTCCCCATTTGTAAAATGGGATTAAGAATAGAACCTATCTCAAAATGGTATGAGGATTAAATGAGATCCATATTCTACTTAGAATAGTGCTTTGCACACTTGAGTACTAAATAAATGAGAATTGTAGTTTTAAGTAGAAATTAACCTCATCTCTTCATGGGCTCTGAACTGGTCCTGAGATGAATAAGGACACTCTGACATTCTGATAACTGGAAGGAAACCATTATTAAATTAAAATTCCTACTGGGCCTCCAAGAGCAGCTACAGTTAACACCAAGAAGCCTATATAAGTACCTGATAAATAAATGAATGAACTGATGTCTGACCTTTGTCATTCTTGCTGAAATGGACAGTGTTCTTTCCAGACATCTGATCTCATTGACCACCGAGCAGTTTTGACCTGTTGGCTTCATGTTCTGCTTGTGGAGATTAACCAAACCGGCTACGTGCTCATTCACACACCAAGTGGGTGGGGAAAGGGATTTTCCAATAACAACTTTGCTTACCTCCATCCTGCCCATCTGTGGAATCACACCCATATGCTCTCCCTTCCCAGAAGAGAGAGAAATGGGGAGATGGGGAAGGGTAATGAGTTCTGGAGAGTTCTGGCTTTCTCTCTGCACCATTTCTTTGCAGAGCTGGCAAAAACAAAACAAAACAAAACAAAACAAAAAACCATTTGAGCTTAGTCTAAAAGGCTACCAGGGCCCTGGATAACAATGATCTTATACAAACAAGTGTACCCCAGATGTGCAGCCAGTCCTTTCCCTTGGATTGAGAGAAGCCTGGTTCTCTGAGCTCCCACCAGCTCCAAGACATTTTGTTCCCAGCTGAAGTCTGGCTCTTCCACTCCCCACCCTCATTGCCATAAACAAGGGCGGCCTTAATCCAACCCTGGTTCAGTAAACCTGACAGGCTGCCCAGAGCACATCAGATAAGAGGAGGTTATAGCTGGGCAGGTTGGACCAAGGACTACTTTATATACCAGCAGGGAGAGCTCCTTTAAAATTTGGTGGGTAGCAGGGGTGAGGGTAAGGCCAGACAGTCAATGAATGAGGATAGCTGGACAGAGGCTACAATGAACTTGGAGAGCCAGCTCAAGCCTTGTCTGAAAAGGACCCCACTCATTAGCTCTATACCAGATATTGTAATTTTTCAAGAGAAACCTGAAATGTAGACTTCTATTTGACATCTCCCTAAATTCTAAAGATGGCAACTAATTTTTTTAAAGTGTTAAGCTATTTTTTTTAAGTGCATATCAGCCTAGGCTGCCAGTTTGTGACCTATGATGCCCCTAGGAGTGGGGATGTAGAGGTTTCTGACCCCATCCCCCATACTCACAGCGAGGCTCTGCATTGAGGACATCAGTGGCTGGCTGTCACCATGGCCATGATCTTTAGGAAGGAACACCCCTAATAGAACCAAGGGCACACCTGAGGCCTCTTCCCCCTCCAAGGACTGGACTAGAAGCAGCTCTCCCTTCCCTCAACTGGTGTCCATTAGCCTGTGCCTGGGACTGTGGCCTCTGGACCTTTACTCAGGGATGCTCTGCCCCTCTCCTACCCACCCACTTCATCTGGTTAACTCTTGCCTCTGAAGATTTAGAGCATCTCTTCCAGGCAACTTTTCTGTGACATTTCCCCTTCCCAGTCTGGGACAAGTGTTCCCATGTTACTCAGTTCTTTCCTCTACCCTAGTCCTTATAACCCTGAGTTTACAGCTAGAATGTAGGCCAGGGACCTTATCTGAGTAGTGTTTGGTGCTTAGTGGGTGTTAGTGAATATTGGTTGAATGAATGAATGTCAAAGTGGCCAAGAGTAGAGGCTAGCAGATCAAGGAGATTTAGATCAGGGATGGGAGGAAAAACTCAAGTCCATTCAGGGTCTGCCACGAGGAGTCCCAGCTCAAAATACCAACCTGTGATTGCACCTTCTTAAAAAAAAAACCAATCCTTTGACTCTAGCAGCCTCTTAGGTCTTTAACCACCTGCCATTGAAATGTAAATGTCACTTAAAGAGGCGTGCACACACTTCAAGTCATAATATGGGAGAGCCTTAGTTAACAATGAACCCCTTAAATGGGTTTACCCAGAAAGTAATCACCTGAAGAAGAAAAGCCTGGGCTGCCATCAGGAAGGAATTCCAAGGTGGCAGGAGAGAGAATAGGGTCCACAGCTCCTGAACACTGATGCTGTCTACAGAAATTCTCTTCCCAATGTCTACTTGTGAAGCCAGCTATGAGGTGGTGGAAATAACTCTAGGTTTAGGAGTTGGGAAATAGGGGCCCTAGCTTCAGGTCTGAAAATAGCTAGTAATAGATGTCTTTGACAACTTAGACTGGTCACTTCCACCTCCTGAGTCTTGGTTTTCTCATCTGTAAAATGAGTCACTTATGCTAAATCACCTCTCACCATTCCATTTCCATTTCCAGATGGAACAGGAAAATCTCTGATTCTTCTGTCCCATTTAGGCCAGCACAGAGTTCTAGTCGGGCCCCTGTCACACTTGAAATAAAACAACAGCCTTCTACCTGCTCTACTACCTGGCCTGCCCAGCAGCCCGGGGCAAGTGCAAACTATTTTCATTGTGCCATTCCCTTCCTGCTGCCTTTCTTTTTCACTCTGAATCCCTAAAATGGGAATATAAGGCTCTCCCAGTCTTTCCAACCTCAAATACTCTGTGCAATGGCCTATCTGCACCAGGACCCCTCACCTTGTCGATTCTTACCTGCTCACCTTTCCTTGCAGCCACGTCCACATTTGCAAGTTTCTCTACTCCGACAATTATCACGGCCCAAAACTGCTTGTAAAAGACTTTGACACACTTTCTTCTAGGACATGAGCACTTAACCATGTGCTGAGCACCCACAATTGCCAGATACTCTGCCTGGTGCCTTACACACAGACTGTCTCTTGTAATGTCCACAGCGCACTGTGAGATATTGTTACCTCAAGTTCACAGATGAAGAAAGCAAAGCACCAGTAACTAGAGGGAGAGGTAGTGGAAACAAATTTAAAATCAGTGTGACTCTTGGGACTTCCCTGGTGGTCCAGTGGTTGAGAATCCATCTTGCAATGCAGGGGACACGGGTTCGATCCCTGGTCAGGGAACTGAGATCCCATGTGCCGCGGGGCAACTAAGCCCAAGCGCTGCAACTACTGCGTTCTGGAGTCTTCATGCCACAGCTCAAGAGAAGCCCGTGTGCCGCAATGAAGAACCCACGCGCTACAACGAAAGATCCCTTGTGCTGCAACTAAGACCTGACGCAGCCAATAAATAAATAAATAAAGCTTTAAAAAAAAAAAAAAACACCAAAAAAACCTACATGACTCTCTAGAGTTTTTTCCTTTCCCTGTTGCCTCTTCAGGATACTTTTCCTGAATAATCCTGCTAGTCCTCTTTAAAAACATTCTTACCTCAGGGCTTTTCAATGTTTGTACATATGGTTTAAAACTGCTTGCACTTTTATAACACATTTCTTACTCTAGAGCCTCTTACTGATATGTATATACATGTCATTTATTACTGTTTACACTTTCATAACAAAGAGTCAGCACATCTTCATGTTTTGCTTTTGGTTGAGGTCTGGTGGCTTTGCAAGCTTGCATCCCCTCTCCAACTGTTACCGTATACACCTCCACAGGAGGAACCATTGTGTTCTATTTCTTTTTATACCCCCATGTGCCATGCACAACTTGGCATGAGACAGTCTTAGTACACTGAGTACACTGGCGGTTGAATGAAAGGATGTGCCCACAGGTGACTGTGGGGCAAGTGCCCTCTCCTCACTGCCCTCTTCTAACATCCTCCCTCCCATTCAGGACCTAAAAAGGAAATTGCCCACTTTGGGAGTTTCCTAAGAGCAGGTGAGGGAGCCCTGTGAGCTGAGTCCCCCTGCAGATATCACAGTTCCCAGCACATGGTCTACACACCAGCAAATTTGTTCTTAGGTGGATACTGATGGTAGGACTTCATTTGATCTTTTCAGTCAAATCTGTTCCACACAGCTGGAACCACAACAACTTGAAATAATAAGCAATGAGTAGGCAGATATGAATGCAGGTCTGGATAAATAAGTTTGGAAATAAATGGAGACTTATTGTTGGAAAAATGCTTTCACATACCATAGGCTGATGCATCATTTAAGGATTCTGTCTTCATGCTTATACCATGGCTTTAAATTTACATGGTCTGAAGATGATTAAGCTTTCTGGCTGAGGGTGAGGAGACCACAGAAGGAAGGAGAGGGGCAGAGGCACAAGCCCTCTCAGGAGTCTTTCCTTAATGAGCCTTCTTGTCCTGGCTCTAGGGAAGCTGGTGCCGGAGGGGGATGATCCCTTTCCTCTGTGTGTGTGTGTGGTTGGGTAGGGGGGAGTGACAGTGCATTTGAGCAACTCAGCTGTTAGTTCTCTGCCGCTGCTGGGTACCCAGAGAAGCGCAATCAAGCAGCCGAGCCCCTCCCCCAGCTCCTCACTGGCCTAACTAATCCTGAAAGCCCTTTCTTCTCCTGGGCAGAGCGTCCCCTTGCCAGCTGCCCATTCCTCCAGGTGTTTCCTGTAGCTCTTTGTTTGCTGGCTGGGTGGCTGAGGGCAGAAGTGGGAGTCTGTTTTGGCTTCCCGTTAACCAATGGCAGCCAGTGTGGGGGTAGGTCTGGAGCTCCTGTATCTGGGGGGAACTGACCACAAACACCAGCTGCCTCCTGATACCTGCCTTTCTGAGAGTGTATAAACAGTACTGGGCCCAGAGAGGAAGAAGGCTTTCTCGGCAGAGCAGGGCAGGGGCTTCAGCTGGGTCAGAACAGAGGGTCATATCGCAAGTGAAATGTCTAGAAGCTTCCTACCTTAATTCCCCTTTCCCCAGGGGAGAGGGTCAAGGTCTAAAGTGTAAGTCACCACAGGGACCTCAGCACAAAGGCCTGGTTGCCCTGGACTCTAACGCCAACATGACAAGGGCTGGTGGTGCTGGGTCACCCTCCACCGTTCACCTGCCATAAAGTGGAGTGCATTGCTTCTCAAGGCAAAGGCTGAGAGTGGAAGGGGCCGTCTTGACAAAGCCTCCATTTTCTTACCTCAGAGCTGAAGCGACTATACACCCCATCTTCACCAAACCTCCCCAACCCCAGACAGTTGGTGCAAAGACAAACGCTGTCTTGGGTTTCTCCCTGGCCACTCTTCCCAGGAAGGTAGGGTAGTATTTGCGGTTCAAGTTTCTCCATTTTAGTTGAAGTGATCCACTCATCTGGATGATTATTTTATTTATGTCTCCCTGGGAGGCTGTTGGCTCTGGGAGCTGGGCTGCGTATCTTGATGTTACATTGTATCTCCAGTGCTTGCATGGGGCCTGGCATACAGTAGGTTCTCAACAATAGTGTAAATGAATGAATGGGAATGTTACCTCCTTAATCCTTTTCTGTCTTGGTGTTTGCAATGGGTTAACAGAATAACACAATAATAAATGGCACTAGTGAGCATTCGCCATGCGTATAATATCATTAAATTCTCAGATTAACTCCATGGGTTGATATTATTACCCTTAGACTATAGATGAAGAGACTAAGACTCAGGGAAGGTGAAGCAAATTACCTACAGGCGTACTGCTAGTAAGTGACAGGGTCGGGTCAAATCCAGGACTGACTGAATAAACAGAGGGGGAAAAGAAAGAAAGAAAAACTAAGGCAACACTGGATCCAGGGTTTCTTCTAATTCCCCCTGTCACCCTTAGCCCTCTGGTCTTCTGGATTCCAGGAACTTTTACACCAAGCCACAGTTCACATTGCAGGTGGTCAAAAAACAGTTAAGAAGTCTGGAATCTCAATCTTACGTATATTTTATGTCCAAACTCAG